CGAACAAGCCCTTAGTCTCGAAAATAATGGAGCATAGGTATGACATTTATATTCACGTGACATAATGACAGTTCACTGACAGATGTGCCAAACATGGCAGGCAAGCGCAGCTCCACATTCTCATTCAACCAGATACAAAAGAGCGTACTCACAGAATGCCTTAAGTCAAACTGTGCTACTTGATAACTCAGAGCTAAATAGGGATCGACTGCTATCGTGCCATGAGGTCTACTCGCTGACACTCATCAGTGCCAATAATAACTACCTGAACTGAATCCTCCCGAGCTCAATCGCTTCCAAGTGAACGTAGTCCAAAAGTTCTGCATATCGATTTTCTTCAAAAGAGACGGAGCAACAGACTGCTCCATAGCTGACGAAAGACCGGAATGGTCAAAACAGTGCCAAGCACGCGTTTACTGCTAAGCCCCGCCCCACGTGCTTGGCACAACGCCAACGCGTTGCGAAATGGCAAAACTCCACTTTTGCGTCGATGTTTGTACTCACGCATAGGAGTTCCTAATTTTTTGTTGGGATTGAACAAAATTGGCCTGAATTTCGCACTAATTTTCGATAGGATTATAAAATTTTGAAGAGGCAATGATCATTTTCATGGCTCTTTCCTGGCTATTGGACTGCACGTAGTCATGAGATAGAAAACAAGTTTCCTATTTTTGAAATTCTGGCCTTCCTTTTTGTCTCTTTGCCTCAAGCTGCTCCATCTTCTAAAGGAGCTGTCATCTCAGTTTTTTATGGGTTTCTCGATATGCTCGGCAATTCTCGCCCCCTCTTTCGCTTCACTTTTCGCTCATTTTGCACTGCTTTTGAGTTACTCGATTTCAGGAACCAGGCAGGCTTCGAAGTACTCAGATAAACGCCGGGGGCAGGCGGTCCGCAGACTCGCGCTTTTCTGCAGGCGGTCAGCAGAATTTTGGGGCGTGGCCAAACCTTCAGCGGGCGGCACGTCGTATATTCTGCCAGCGGGCAGCAAAACACCATTTTTTGCAAGCGCTCGGCAAAAAAATTCTTTCAGCGAGCGCTAGTCAAACTTTCAGCAAGCGCTCGGACTCTTTTTATGCAGTTTCGGGCGTACGCCGAGAAAAGATGAAACTCTAGATGGCAGAGGTACCATCGATGGTTTTATTACCCAAGTTTGGGGTACTTTCTATCAGCGGAAAGTACCTGGGGGTAGCGCGGTCCTCCACAAAGGACCGTGCGGCCCTCGAAATTTTTGCATATTCTCGCGGAAAGTCCGCGAGAATGCGGCCACTGCGCCGCAGCTAATTCATAAAGAAACCTTGTTCTTCAAGCATTCGTCTTTAATTCCGCCAACTTTCTTCCAAATTTCTGCAAGCGGGCCGCAAAAAATCAACGAACTATTTTTCCGGTGCGCGCTTGCTCAAAATTCGCATAGCCGCTTGCCCCCGGCGGTTATCTGAGGTAAATGAATGCCGCCCTACATAATTGCGCAATTACGTGGAGAAAATAAAAAAGGAAAGAAAATTTAAAAAAGCGAAAGCGGCAAGCAGGGAATTTGAAAAGTTGATTGATTTGGTAGGTTAATCACTGTTTTTGTTGCATTAGAAAAACTTTTTTATTAATTCAGGCTGAACTCTGTTCGTCAGGAAAATGTCCATCTTTACTCGAGCGGTCTCTCAAAAAGCACACTTCACCGTCAAAGAAACTGGAAGGTGACTGTAGAGATACTGCAGGTTAGTATATAACCACCTCATTTTACTATGCTTGCTTTAACGGTTTTTGGTTTTTCAATTACGTATTGTGCACAAATCTCTTCTCCTTTTATCGGTAATCCCGCATTCATTCAAATCACTTGATTCGATTGGTTGTAAAGTAATATGCAGGCGCTGTTCAGATGTGCTTGGAGAATAAGCAAATCTAACTCGAAGATTTGCGTGCTAAACTTGAGAAAGATATTGGTATATCGAAATCCTTGCATGAAATTTGGACCAGAGTCGGAAACTAGTAAATTTTTTTCACTCCTCATCCTGTCCGCAATCCGCAGACGATGAAGATTTTCAGGTTCTAGAAAGAGATGAGCAGTTAAATGAATTGAGTACAAAATTACGTCTACCACATGTTAGTTTGTCACTGTTCGCCGATAACTTTCATCTCTTGCATATATGGTCACGAAAAGATCAGTTGTCTTGATCATCCGGGATAAGCCTTCTTCCTTCTCCTTCTCAAGCTATCCACTGCAGCAAGTCGATGTTCCCGATCGCTACGGCCAATCGTGGTTGGGCGTCTGTGCCCCAATGCAGCCAGGATGTCATCCTACACTACAGTGGCCATTTGAGAAGGCAGGCACCTCATACAGCCACCTCATACTTCATAGCAACAAGGGTCGGGTGCTTATCCAGGTTATACTTCTCGAGGTACGTATTGCTTTAAAAATCTTGGCATTTTGCGCATGGAAACTGCATTTTCTTAGGGCACTGCGCGAAACCGCCTTTTGGCTATCCATTAAGAAGTGAGTGCTTTCTAACACCGATGACATGCTTCTTGATGTACCTGCATTCTCGGTTTACATCTGCGTTTTCGGCTTTGTTTTGTGCTATTGTTGTCATCCTGTCTTAGTCCATGATAGGTAAATTTTCCTGCTATTATTGTCATTTTGTTTTAGTTCATGTTTGATAAGTAAATTTGAGTTGATCTTGACTGGGTTCTGTTTCAGGCTGAACTGAATATTCAGGGGATGCTATGCTTCACTCATGATCTATCAGTGTGGCTTCCTTTCAATGTTTGATCGTTGTATCTGGGCAACTCTTTGCCACGAAAGTCCTTCTGAGACTTAACCGCATTCTTGTCCTAAATGTATGTTTTCATCTTATGCTTCTTATCAGTCTATACTAACTCAAATGATATCATCTCCCTTTTCTAGGCAATCACTTTTTTTTGCTCTACCATTCATCTCCGCATCCCAACTGTTGAACAAATTTTGCCATTGACAAATGCTAGATAGGCAAGACCGTCTGCTTAAGGTTGGTTTTAGAGCAGCCTTCTTTTTTATTGTAATACAGGTAATACATGTTACAGTTCGCCTTTGCTAATTTGGAACGTGCGCCTGAAGAGCCTATGCTTCAGTAGCCTTCACTGAGAGGAGTACCCTGCTTACAAAAACTACTGTGCTGGTAATTTGCAGTGATCATGATGCACGATACGATGTTCTTTCTGTTGTTCTGGTCTGACCTGTTCATTTTGTAGATTTTTTGTAAAATTGGTGTTTTTAGGCCTTTGTGGGTCAATCATAACGACTTATCATTGTATGGCGTTGTTGTTGCGCTTTGCTTACACCGTTGATGATTTCATTTCATGATGCTGCAATGACCGATTGTTCTAATAAACAATGGAATTCATGCTTTTGTCCGATTGATTCTCGAGAATGACTCCTCGGGCCTAAATTAGAAGTTCACCGGAGTAGTCGTCTCAACCACGGAACACTCACTGTTTCCATTAGATTAGATTGCTCAAAACACGAGATGATAATCGCCGTCAGCAGCGCTCAATCGATTCAAAGGACGGTGAGGAAATAGCGATTGGGTCCCGACACGAACAGCCTGAATGCGGTCCCTGCCTTTGTTGGGGGGGGGCAGATAGGGCACCTCGAGATTTCGTTCATGGGGATTCGCCGTACGAGTAAGTGGGCGTGGTTGAGGCTCGGACGTCTGCCTAGACGCTGCCTTTAAGGGCCGCAATCTCCACAGAAATACAAAGCGATATCTATATTAATTCTAGTCACCCGTGACTCCACAACCAAGGACTCATTGGGTCATCTGAGACACTGTGATGACAGAGCTTGACTTTACTTAACTGCCAACTCAAGCGACAAACGTTAGGGTAGCCCCACCGCGGCTAACTTACGAAAGTAACGTTTTCTCGTAAAGCATGTAAGAATTGCGGCGTCAGCAAGTTCTCCCGGGCCGTAGGCTAAAGGGCCGGGGCTTGCTCGAAAACTAAATTTGCAGGGCGTCCTGTAATGGACTCGCCGGCGTTTTTTGAGCCACGGGTGTTCCGATAAGACAGTTAGGGCCCGCGATCTTTCCCTCACGATAACATTGAGCTACGCTCTAAATTTATTTGCCAAACAAATAAATTTAGAGCCGCGGATAATCAATCCAATAACCTAGCGTCGCGCACTGCTAGAAGGCATTTTCAGGAGCCGTGGTGCTCGCAATAATTGTCTGAGCAAGTCACTGCTTCTCGTGGATAGTGCAAGCGTGCAAAGCTTCACAATGAATGTAGCTTAAGGGTACCACCAGTTTCGCTGGAGCTATGTAGAGACCAGGAAAAATGAAGGGATTTTTGTCAAACCGCATTGCTGTTGAACTTAGAATAGACACATTAGTCTGCCTTTGTAAATAGTAATTGACGGTTCCAACACCGAGGAAGTGAAGGTAATTACGCCATATGATTTATGCGCTTCCAAAAAGTAAGTATAGCTAGTAACAGTTTAACATTTGAATGACGAAAAACTATTGGCAAACCAGTCTAGTTGTTCCGAAGAACCTTCAGCTTCACAACGGAAGTAGAGCGGTTTTATCGGCAATTGTGATCCAAATTCACATGAATAAATGACCTACCTTCAATTCGATTCAATCGTTATTCTACATGCATGACATCTGCGTACTCACTCAAAAATGCCGTAAATGTCGCTGTTTCTGCACAACACATCAAAGTTTTGAAGTCATCAAACATGCTGGAGCGGATTTTTTCCAGCAATAGTTGAACTTTGTTGTTTGACCAAAAAATTTTTTCATTATAACAATCTGGTGAGTCGGACTGTGATATCAAACATATAGGCGAATCCAAGCAAAATATACTTAACAAAGCAAAGTTTGCAGAAGACACAAAGAATAGGCTCATCGATGCAATGCAAGTAAACATCAACATCACTAATCGAATAGTGTACCACTACATTGCTCACATCTGCGGCTTCAGAAAAAATATCGCATAGAATCTTGTTGACGTAAATTTAGCACTCGTAGTTACTCGTCATCTTCTACATCTAGGCTCTTTTTCTTCTTCTTCTCGCTTTCTTTCATCATTGCAAACGGACCGCTTTGGGAAGATGCAGATGTTATACTTGCTGAAAAAAGAAAAGATCAAGTGCTTTTTACTTTTGTTGACACCTTAAGTAGTTTTCGAGAAAATTAGCATTTTACAATTTATAGTAAAACTTTGTTTTTGGCAAGAAGAGCATTTGAACGTATATGACGTTGGAAGCATTTCCTTGCTTATTCTCGCTGATGATATCATGCTTCACAACCGATACTTTTCAAGTGGAAGATAAAAGCCATATTCCCTCTATATAAATCAACGTTTTAACGTATTAACGTTTTTTCTGCAAAGAGTTCTTTTTCTAAAAACAAAAGATTGAATTTTGCCTGCTTTGTCTGTCCGTATGCAATTTCTACCCTCAAAACCACAGCCAGGAACAAAAGTGCAGGAAGATTGTAAAGATGGGAAGACGATTGCAGATGATAACATGTGTGCGATAGTTCTTTTGATCCATTTATATTGTTTCTTGTTGTTTTGAATATTGTTGTCTGCCGCGCTCCCTGCTCGCGGCAGGACCACTCGCCATCTTGGCGGGCCTTAGTGCGGGTGTTGCATCATTCGAGGTGCACTTTGGAGTTCTCTCTGTTCGATCTCAAGGCGCCACGTCTTTTGCCTTTTCTCATTGTTCTTGCCTATCTTGTATTCTATATTCTTTTTGTGTCTTTGTCGATAAACTCTTATTCCACGGCCGTGCTATTCCACAAAGGGGAAAGGGACCAACCACCAGTTCTCTGTTCTTTGTTTTACAAAGTAAATTTTTGAGACGTTTCTTCACCCATGTAAAACGTTTTTTGGAAGTCGCTCTGATGAACATATGCCCATGCTTGCGTGTTGACAGCAAGGCAGCACTATCTAGAAAATTTCAATTACTCTATTTTTGTAAAACCTGCGCAATTCTGATGAAACCTGCGCAAATCTGATGCCTATGGCGATCGGAATACAGGATTTATCAATTCAGTGTCGGGTGCACCAGCGTCTCCACTACCACGTGGGACTCTGCATCTCTTCTGCGAGCATGCTCTTCAATCATATACAGTCGATTGAGGCTCCGCCTTTCTCACGTTCGTGGTTGGAAAGTGATCAAAGAGCATGTTTGAAAGAGGTGCAGAGTAAGGCAAAGCGATTGCGCGGGATCGAAGATGCTGATGCCCCCGACACTGCTGTTTTTAAGTCCTGCATGATAAAGCGGATCTCTATCTACATTGGCTTGAATAAAAAAGGATGATAAGGTTGATAATTTCAGGCTTTTTCAAAGGCAGCGTCCCGGCAGATTTTGCATTCCCATCTTTTTGCATGTTTTGGGCCTTCTCGACCCATAGATCACGAATCTGAGCTTTAAAAGGGGTGAAAAGGCCTTTTTCGGTGCGTTTTTTTTCATTTCCAAAAGGCAACTCGGACGAGAATTTTCAAAGGAAAGTCGGGAGGCCCTAGCACGAAGACCCTGCTGCCTGTAATTTTGGCTTTGTATAGCATGCACAATGCGGGAAAGCGGTTGGGAGGTCCCGCGCCGTCTAGCGGAGAATACTCGTCCGAACAAGGTGTTAGGGGGGCGAAAGGAGGAAGGGGAGCGGCGCCTGGGCCGCCCCCTGGCTTGCACAGTTCACATTCTCGGCACGGAATTGCTGTTTTGGTTCACTTGGAGGGCCTCCTATCCATCTGTGTCAAAATCTGAGGTAGGTCAAATCTGCCGAGCCGCTGCCTTTAACTTGGTTCAAAATCTGCAGCAGGGCACAGTGTTAAAGTGTGAATATGTCTTTCAAGTTTTGCAAAAAGACTGTCAGAGAAATATTAGGTTGAACCGAAAGTTCTGTCCCTCCATTTTCAAAAATTCGTAACTTCGCCAGATTTCAACGGATTTGCTTGCTCGTAATTTTATTAGAAAGAATAGATCTTCCGCTTTCAAGCCCTGTTTTGCGGAGCTTCTAATTCACACTGAGTGCCAAGATAAAAATGGAAAACTAAGACCATGTAAACTTTGACCATTTTAAGTTAGGTCACCAAAAATCTGGAATGCTGCAGAAAAATCTGAAATCGTCAGTACATATGTTTTTTGGCCTACCCTTTGCATCTGTGAAAAGTTTGTGTTGTTTGGACATCTCTGTGAGAAGTTATGAATATCGAGTTTACTATGGATAACGCCAAAATTAATTAATTTGGCAATTTTCGTGAAAATCATAACTTCTCGCAGAGACGTCCAAACAGCGCAAACTCTTCAAAATTGCAAAGAGTAGGCCAAAAAACATATGTACTGACGATTTCAGATTTTTCTGCAGCATTCCAGATTTTTGGTGACCTAACTTAAAATGGTCAAACTTTACATGGTCTTAGTTTTCCATTTTTATCTCGGCACTCAGTGCGAAGCAGAAGCTACATAAAACAGCGCTTGAAAGCGGAAGATCTATTCTTTCTAATAAAATTACGAGCAAGCAAATCCGTTGAAATGGCGAAGTTACGAATTTTTGAAAATGGAGGGACAGAACTTTCGGTTCAACCTAATATATCATTGAGCGGGCAGCGAAGATAAATAGCATAAGCACTTTAAACTTACTTTTACTCCCCAATTTGACCGGTTTCGGATGTGGATTTGCTGGCTGAGCATAAGTTTCTTGGGAACGTCGGTGCATGGTGCTGTCTTTGGAAATTTCCACTGAACATAATGTAATTTTGGCATGAAAAGTCTAGCATATTAGACAGACCTATGTTGCACATTACGTTGGCTGCTTCAAACAACCCGAAGCTCTGAATGATTTGTATCGTCTTCTCCACTTAGTAAGATATAAATTTCTTCAACTTACTACAGTTTCTCCAGGTTGTTGTTTCTCTAGACTGTTGCTGCGATTATCCGAAAGATGCTTTTCCTTTTTAACTACAGATAAAGTAGCTTGTGTCTTGCTTTTGCCTTTTGATAGCGCCTTTACTTTCTGGAATTACATTAAAGAACAAGGACCTTTTTGACCAGACTAGCTGAGAAATGAAACTCACGTCATTTGGCACTCCCGGTGCATATTCTAAATTACTAGTATCAGTATTTCAATATGCTCTGTAATGTCACCCACTTTCTACTTTCCGGTCCTTGTCCTTCGTAGTCATTGCTGAAACTTCGTCGCTAAGCTTGTCCTCAAGATTATCGAATTTGAGATCTTTTTCGTCCCTTGACTTTTTCTAAATGAGAAAATCACACTTGCTCATCAAACACTATCAATGATTCTAAACAGAATGGGTGTGTCTTTTATAAGAATTGTATAATCTTAAAGTTTCAGAAACTGTTCTACCACTCACAGCTCATTGAGCATTGTACGGTTACATGGAACAAATATGGGTTTATTTTGCAATTGCTTTAGCAAAAAATACAGGTTTATTTTTTTAGAGAAAAGTTCTAATTGAAATTTCCATGTTTTCAACTGTAGGCCAAGCAGTAGAATGCTTGGGCGATACATCCTTTTTTTCAACAGCTGTTTCTGATAATTCAGTTTCTTTCTTAGAATATGAACATTTTTCCAAGAGTCACTTAAAGATGGCTTTCCGCATAATGAGATGATCATTGACAAAAGTCCGCATTAGTGTTAGTTTAGTTAGTTAAAAAACAGACATTTTACTGTGGATAGTCAATTTAAGCACGGAGCAAGCCTCTATTTTTTTTTATCTCCCTTGAAGATTTTTTCAATTCCTGACATTTTCTGATTTTTATGGCTACAGTAAAACAGTGGGCAGCCTTACCAAAATCGAAAGAAAGGAAGATTATGTTAGAAGTCTACAGTGGTACAATCCTGGCAGAAATTCGTCGCAAATAGCGTTTTCAATCTCTGCCGCATGATCGAGAGAGAGGAATGGTTGTATGGATTTCGGTTGATACTCACGCGTCGAAGTAGTATTCCAAACCAAGTGCGTTTATCACAAAATCCCGACGAAAATTCCAAAAAGAATTTTGGACAACAAACTTCTTCATCTTTTTTTACAAGTCCTACTCAGTATCGTGGCGCCGCACTGTATCAGCCCACCACTAATCTCTTACTTCCAAAGCAGCGTTTGGCACAAGAACAAGCATTACGAAGTTCAGGGTGCCTTGTAAAAACGACATCAGCTTGTCCCTGCGCCTAATCCTGCTGGGAGCAAGAAAAGTTAGTGGTGAGCTGATAGCGTTCGGCGCTATATTAGAATTAAATGTATGTCAAAATCATCCTTTAGAAATTTCACCGGCTTGGTTGAAGCCAGCATTCAGGCAATCGTCCCAGATTTTGATACGGTTCAACAGGTCCCTCCTCCCCTTCAACTAAAGCAAATCGTCAGGTCCGCTTAGAAAATGCGACTTCTAAAGCCTCAAAAACGGCCGCTTCCCTAACTTTTTCTGCTCCCTATGAATACTTGTGGATTCTGCGCATCATTTTCACGCTGGATCTGCAAGGCATATCCCTCTGTGATATAAGCGAAATATGACAGTAAGTTTACCATGCACATACGCCAAGGTAGCTGGCTTTGTTGACTTATGGCTGAGAAGTCTGTGAAAACGCAGGTACTGAAAGCCGTAGCAAAACTTTTATCAAATTAGCTGGAAGCGTTCCTGTTGCCAGCTAAGGCGGAGCTGACTTGCTAACATAATTTTTTCTTGTAGATCATTGCACTGAAAGTTTTCGTACTAGCACAAACTTTCCACTTCTTCCTTCGGCCTGTTTTATAGCCTTTAGAAAATTCACAGTGGTGGCGCAATCCTGCTTCGATCACACAGTGCGTTCCTAAGCACATCAACGCGCAGGTTTAATTTTGATATGTGGTGTCCACTCATACTCATACTTGTCCTTTGTCTTTCGATCTTCTGATGAGCTATGATCGTCTAGTCCTAGTTCTCTCGGATATTCACCTGAAAAGTATTGGGGGAGGGGGGTGGAGGCAAAATCGTCGGGCTTCGTGAAACTTTGCGGAATCAAAGAATGACTTCGATGCCATGCCGAGTCCTGTTTTAAAACAGCCGGATTGCTTACCGGTAGGTCTTCTATCACATTTGAAGATTTTGCCTACTGCTGTTCTTGTAAGGACTAAGTGTGTAATTAAGCGGAATTCCTTGCGCTCATTCTCTTCGTTCCAGAACGAGCGTCTTTGATTTTTCTTTTAAATGGAATTCAGACAAGGAGAGACATGCCTGCATTGCCAGGATACCATTTTTTCAATCGCAGTCACAATATGTGAGGCATTCTACCTAATGGAGTGAAATTGAAATGTATTAGGTTGTAAAGAGTTCTACCAATAGCGCTGAGCTAAATTATTTTATTTATATCTCCATCATGAGTGGCTGCCATTCAGCGATATTTTGGTCATTTGTACTGATAACCTTAGACTAGGGTGATTAGGTACGTCACGGATGCTCTTTCTCAAGCAGCGCGCTGGCTGCTTTTTGAAACAGGGGTACCAATTTTTACCCTTAAATTCAATGAGTTCTTGCTTGCAAAAAGGCCAGATACCGGGACAAGTGATAGTCGGATAACGCATCTAGCCAGTATACACGGTATGAAACGGATTTTCAAATCAAGCCTTTGGGAGTTTTGCTTTTGGTAACTATAAAAAGAATTGGCAGAACTTTCATTATTATAAAATATATAAAGTAGTATGAACAACATATAGCTTCAAAAGAGATTGTAATCTTGGCGATTTCAGGATACACGAGCAGAACCCTTATGATTACATTTGAGTCGATCAATTATTAAAGGATAGATGGGCAAAGATGGGGCGTCTAGTTAGCTTTGGATCCACTACGGCTGACAGTCAAGTTCAATTTTATAGTTCTTATACTTCAAAGAGGATATCTTACTGATTTATCGACCAACTCCTGGGAATTCAAAAAGAGAGAGTAATGTCAAATCAGTAACAAAAGTGAGAGGGCAAAAACGTTGACTAAATTGAAGAGTTTGTCGATTAACAGGTCGACTTTCAATTTCATTTGCAGGCAGCTGCAGCACCCCCGCAACTAGTTATTGCAATTATTCTTTCGAATACTTACTGAGACGCAATCTTCTTTTAGCAAATTTTTTTTGAGCAGTAAGTATCGATGTCATAAACTTTTGGCGTCTTAGAAAGGCGGTGTAATCATGATACGGCAGCAGCAGTCATTGTCTCACTTCGTATAAGGCGTTTAATTCGCATTCGATTACCGTTGAGCTTTTCACCTATATCTGCCTTTCTGCCGGCCGAAATCTCCTGCTTATCATGCGGTTTACAACTGATGGAGTTTGAAAAGTTTTCATTGAATGGGTAAAAATTTCGTTGAATTTTTCTTCAAGCTAAGAGGACTGACCTAAGCTGTACGCCTTTACCTATATAAATATAAATCATATTCATTTGTATAAATAATAATGACGATAGATTTACTGGAAAACGAATAATTTTATTCCAAAACGCCTACTTGACAAATCATAACCTCATTTGGTAATTGGTCTTCAAGTAAAAATTTCTAAGTTATGTAGCCAGCCACAACGTCACCGCGACAGGAGATTTGCAGTATTCCTGCAATCCAGAGAATTGCAAATTTAATGTGTTCATATTTTCAGCTTTTTTTAGTGCTACATGACACTTTCAACCTTTCAAAATGTTGATTTTTCTATCGGTAAGTTCGAGAAATTATCTCAATTGACTGAAAGGGCGCGCGTGCTAGTACACGGAAAAAATTGTAGTGAATTTTGTATGCTTAATGTTAAAAAGTTTTTGAAAAAACCAGATTGCATACAATTTGCTCAAACGAGTCTAATCACAAAAAGGCTATTGAAATTCCAAGAAGTGTTAAAATGATGAAGAGATGCAGACCGCTGAGGGCCTAGCACTTGATGAATGCTTTATAAATTTCCTCAAACAATGAGCGCTTTTCATCTCTGCTACTTATAGGAGTGTCTATGTAAATCTGTGTGATTTTGACACAGAATGTCTTTCATCAAGGTGGCGGTACAAAGCAATAACTACGATATATATAGTTACAGTAGCGGGTGAGACACTTCTTGCTCTGATATTCCGGGAACCTTTGTCACTTCTCCATGTAACTTTTCCCATCAAGCAATTCTTTTGGCAATTTGAAAGGCATCTGACCTTGTATCTAGATATACAGAGTACTTTCGGGAGCTTTAATTTATAATAAAGTAGTCATGAAGAAATGAGATTTTGGTTTAGTGAAACTCTCCGTATCTTTATGACCTTTCCAACAATTTACATTTACCCATGTGTTTCTTTTTGTCAAACTACTTTCTTGGCTTAGTAAGTTAGTGGATAATTTTAAAAAATGATAGAAATCTTACCTTGTTCATCTTGTCGCCGTTCTTCTTGCCGTACTGTTCTGAAAACATCGTTTCGATAGATGACTCGGTAGAATACGGTAGCTATACGAACGAATGGGGATGCGCTAATGTGCAAGGCGGGCGAATCAGCTAGGTGTCAGCAGAGCTTGGAATTGCGGCGCCTAGTGGCTGCAGAATTGTCGGCGAGGCATAGCTGGTAGCATTGGCAACCGCTGCCACCTTCGCAGCCTCCGACAACAATTCCAAGCGCTCAATGTTGAAAAGCAATAATTTCAATTTACACCCACATAATGAGAACATAGATTGCTTAGACATGCGGAAACGCGGCGAGATAGTATCAAGAAAGAATATGCTTTTTTCAGATTTACGAATGATTGTATGCAAGAAATGCAAATGTGAAGACCTAAAGTGAAGGAGTACAACGGAAGAATAGACAAATTAGAAGTGATCAAGTGCATGTGCATTCATGCACTTTCGAGACTGACGAAAGTGAGAGGCGCATTAAGAACTTTAGCTACTTCACATACATACTGTCAAGAATAAATGTCACATCACTTCCCTTGTACTAAGGGAGCCGCTTAGTGTTGGATGCACTTTGAATGCTGGTTCTGTGTTCTATACAGCTTTTATCCTGACTTATACGTCATTTTCCCACCGTCTGCATGGTCAAACGCTCTGACCAATTCTGACCAACGCTGTTGGTCAAAATTGTCATGAACAATCAAAATTCAATTAGCAAAAAAGGACTGCTTATTCTCGTATGCAACTTTTTTGATTATGCTGCTCAGTTGCTAAAAACTCCCTCTTTGCGCTGAGACCCTTAGCGGCTAAAAAAGAAGAAAGACTTTATGACCTTGTTTATCTATACGTTGATAAAGGCTTTACTTTGCTCTATCTAATATGCTTATCTTATCCGTGTACCTCTTTAAGTCTCAAGTTGACCGCCAAGCTTGTTGTTACTGTGGAATTGTTTATTGCAGCACTGAGTTATATCATAAAAGTTCGTATCTTATTTTCGTAATGCATAATTGTCCCCGTGAAAATCAACCAAGTCTACTGTTGTTCGCGAAGATTGCGGGGTCAGCAAAGGTAACTCGCCACCAATCTATACTATGCAGTGCACGTTCATGATATGATAAGCCTCTCACGGTGCGCAGGAGAACTTGCTGGTTGAATTTATAGAACTTGTGAGAGTAGTTATTTTGCTTATTCTAAGCTTATCAAAGCTCAACAGTGCATTCGACACTATCTTGACTTCAAATGAGTCTGTAAGTGGTCCCAACCATTTTGAATGTAAAGGCTACTGCATGAGAAGGCGTTGAAGCTATATTAGTTAAGCGGGCGCGAACGCGGCGTGAACGTATTTTTCACCGTTGTAAATGCGCTTTTTGCGCTCTGCGGCTAATAAAACCGCTTTGCGCACATTGCGCTTTTGTCATGCAGCAGCCTATATCATTTGTGCATTACGATAGCTTATCAAAGTTTATAGGAAACTTCGAGGTTCAATAAAAAGGCAAAAATTTATCTCAAAGGAGCTCATTTATAAAGGGCTGGTAGCAACTTTCCACATATGTAGTATGAATGCAATCAGTTATTATGTTTATTCAGTCATTTATTCCAGTAATAGTGTAAAATACAAGCCCATTCCTTGTTTCGTTTTTCTCTGGTAGTGACCTGTAATTCCCCTGGCTCGTTTGATCTCATAATCATGAAGGACCAACTTTCGGTAGCCGCACACTGATGTTGCAGACAGACGGCACTGAGTGTCACTCGTGTGGACAACTGATAATCTTTTGCCCTTCCTATTATTATATGAGCAGTGGCCCTAACCATATAAAGACGTGACACACGAGTGACACTCAGTGCCGTCCGTCTACAACATCAGTGTGCGGCTACCGTCCGGTACTTCGGTGCGCACTACTAACATCGATATCGCGGTGAATCGAGGGTTGGTTTCTTTTTCGACGTGCATCTCAGTACGTTGTGCATGGGACAACGTTTGTACTCGATGAGTACGAAAATGGCGTTTGGCGGCGTAGGCTCACAGATCAAGACTGCAATCTTCTTTCAGGCCTCCGAAGAAGACGAAACGTGTCGAAACGTAAGGCAATAAAAGATTCACCGTAAAAATTTGGGCTCGGCAAAACATCAACATATTCAATGAACACCAATGCTCAGATTCGGAGAAGAGAGGACTTGGAGTTCTTGGAGTTATTAACATCGGAAAAATTAGAACAAGATCGAGTGAGATAGCTTTTGCGCAAAAATGATATTCAAATTAAGCGGCATAGCGTCTTGTGAGAGCGAAGATTCATAGAGAAGGACCGCATAAAGAAAAAGTTGCAAACATCTGATGGAGTTTTTAGAGAAAATTTGCTTTGTCGAATCACTTTTCTATTCGCAGGTGGTAGACAGGAACATACTTGCGAATAGAAAAGTGATTCGACAGTGAAAATGTAATGCCTTTGTGAAATTCAGAAGTACACGCGTAAAGCAGAGACTATCATGAAGAATAAACTCGTGTAATCCAGAGTATAACAATTGTAAGAATACGTGGGAAGAGATACAATCAAAATCTGTTGTCATTACCATTCCCATAGCGAACACCTGCACCTGAAGTTCGTGCACAAATCAGAAATTATCGCGGAATGTACCTCCAAATGATAGGTCCTAGATAAAAGTAAGTTTGACTCCAACTAAACTTTTCAGGCAAGTTTACGAGAGATTTGAATTAACTTAAGGACAAGGCCGGATGCACTAAAGCATAACTTAATACAATGTCCGCTCTCAGGCGGCATCTATCATTTGAGATGTAATGTGCTGAGAAAAAAGCTACTTTGGAACCGATCGAAGCATGTCAGCCGAACGATTGTAGCTGAAATTCAGAGGCCCCAAAAGATGATAAAATTGCAGAATGGGTGGGTCCTCCGTTAGAGAAACATTTTTTCTTAAGCACCGCAGAAACGTGTTAGTCAGTTGGAACTTTCGGCTTTGCTCTTACCAAAAAACAAAATTTTTAGTGCAGATTCACTTAAATGATGCAGTGGAATGATCAGCAATGCAAGTAGTAATCTCTGTATACTCGTCAAGTTGAAATGAACAACAATATGATTATTGAAAAAAACGCAAAAAAAAACTTTTTCCACTTAGCAGATACCAAAGAGGTGGCACAATAAGGCGCCTTACGCCAATTACCCTTTCTATGGCAACAGCAAATGGAATAGATATACTCAAGAATTATACTGTTAATCACCTTAGATACAAGTATTTTTTCCACACATGTTCGATATAGAAGAGAATACAGAAAATTGTGGCACAACAGATAATTTGATGGGAGTGTTGGACGAGGGAATCCTTGTGTTAGGCTCCGAGTTATTCAGAAACTCATCAACCATCGAACCCAAATTTTCAGGCAAAATTATCAGTGAGCTTGTAGAAAATCTGAGGCAAGTACTTTGGATAAGTTCCACATTATTTAGCGCCCTAGAAACGAGAACTACAGCTTGCAAATCGGACTAAAACGGATATCTAAACTTTTCATGAAAGGTCAGACCCGGAATTGATTTGGTCTTTTACAACTTAATTATGCAAGCGCTCAAGTAAACCGTCCTTTGTACATCGAATTATTGTTACGCCCTTTGCAGGAACGCATCCGTAGTTTCATTGAAGACGATGCGGTTCTGTTAAGCTTCACTTCTAAAGCGTAAGGTGGGCAATGCTCCGATCAAAGGTCAGGTAGTAATGGAGGGATAAGCTGCTTCCAGAAGTCATCACACTCCTGCTAAGTCGAATCTCTGCACAAACCTCTGTGAACTTTTCTTGACACATTGAATACCGTTTGACACACATGGTGCGCCAAGCAATGCCTACTACGGTCGTTCGACACTGTTGTAGCGGGGCTTGAAAAATGACAAATACTATGGGATAAACTCACTCTAGGTATTTTCCTTTGTACTGTATGCAGAACAATTTACACTTTTGCTTTTTCCATCTGAATTACCTTTTTTGTCAGTATCTCAGAGCTACTGTAGGTATATTGTAGACGGCAGTATGGGTAACTTGATCTGATTATGTTACTTGACCGTGAATGGTCTCCGTCCTATTAGGTAGGCAAATAAAAATGTGCGTAGTTGTCAATGTGTTAAATACCACAAGTATGGGTTTCTAGGTAAGTATAGTTCTGCGGCGCTACGCCACCGGGCTCCACACCTCAGACTTTTCCCAATCACTTGTTTCAAAAAATTCTTTGCTTTGCTCTTCTTTTTCTCATTCTTAATACTTGTTCCAAAATCCGTTGGAGTCGCTGCGAACGTTTCTCACGCGTTTTATATCATGTGTCGCCTCATGACTTCCCGGATTGACATTTCAATATACCATGTTTCATAGAGAGATTATTTAGGCTGGAAAATCATAATTATAAGATCATAATTGCTGCGCCCCTACCCGCCATATTCACGGCACAGCCGTTTCTAAAATCATTGTGGAGTATGCCAAAAAACACAACAATCACGCAAATGTAGTTAGATAGGAGCTGTTGTGCTGAGCCGAGGGTTAATACGAAGCTTGCCATATACATGGGCAAACTACATACAATCTCATACGATGAATAGTAACACGTGACATTGAGAAAAACAGAAAATCAGCAAGGCATAGCCAGCTCAAGCGTGGGATCAGGCGCGCCTGACTTGGGGAAAGAGAAGGATCGTATCAGAGGATGAATAGGCGAGTGGGTCGTAATCGGTAGTAAACTTCATGTTGAATAAGTTCAGGAAAGTGTACGACCGACTGGCATTGAAAAAAAAAAGCGATCGGTAAATCTCAAATCTTCATCAAACCATGATTCCACGGTAATGATTATAGAGAGTGATTAAAGTGTAAACATTGCGAATTGTTGCAGGTCTCACTGTACACCTACCGTAGGCTCATCAGGAAGGAATATGTGTAATCTTCGTAATCAGCATGATGAATTATGTTATGTTAGCAATTTGTCAACCATACTTCGCAATTTTTGTGAAGTGGACGATAAAGTGCTAAGTTATACGTTTTAT